CAAGACCTCAGTAGATGCTTTGAAAATAAGCTTGCATTGCTCAGTTGTGAAGGTCAACACCCTTTTAGTTCTGTCTGTGTTTGCACATGCATCTGGAGTCACTAACTTCTTCAGAATTAGCTGTTGAGCTCAGGGAAGAAGTTATACTCAGCAACTTGACTTTCTATTCTTTCATTGTGCCCTGGGGGAGTGTAAGTTGGAAAAAAAAATTATCATTGCAAGAGGAGGAGTTTTCTCCTATGTAAGGCTAGCTAATTTTTACTGCCCCAAGGACAATTAGCACTATACAACTAACTAGTCATCCCGATGGTATTTAGACTTTTTTCTTCAGTAACTGTTATAATGCATTTTTAGATTATCTTAAATCATTGTTATATAGTTGTACCACTATTAACCGTATTATTTATCATTTATTAATGTGAACTGCACATTTAAAACTCAAATCTGAATATTTTTCAGATATCTTGGTTGTTCAGTCCAGAAATGTTGACTCCTTCAAATCCGTTGTTCATAGTATTCATTCTAGTATATGTTTGTATGGTTGGTGTTGCATTAACTAAGGCCTGTTTTGTTTTGTTTTTTCTTGAAATCATATAACTGTCACTAAATGTTGCAGAGAAATCAATGTTGCAGAGGAGCCAGGCTGAATTCCCCAGCTAGATTCTTTACTTTTTTTTTAAGAATCAGTCATTTAATTTGTTTTGGGTCTGATTCAAAAAAGTACTTAAGCATGATGTTTTCATAGCTTTAGGCATAAGTATTCCCATTGAAGTCATAATAATATACTTTGTTACACTGGGACTTGGATGAGGATTATCTATACATTTTGGGGAATTATTAAATGAACTCCAAACAAATATGCTGCTGTTGATAGCCCCATACAGATTTTGGCTACTTGGATATACCTGTGACTATTTTGTGGTTTTAAATAAGAGGATCATTTTGTTAATGAGCATTTGCTCTTGTAACAGCAAACAAAACTGCAACATTTTATTTTCCTTCCTGTAAAATAAAATTGAATATATACTTTTAAAACGTGGTTTCTGTCCAGTGGCACTAATGGATAGGTGCATGTATAGCTTTATTTAGTGGTTGCAAATAGAACCGCAGTTATGTATAATATCTGATCATAGGCCGCTTGTTACAGGAAAGCTTTTCAGAAAATGTCAGATCTTTAAGCTATTACTGTTCAATAAGTACATAGCAGGGCCTGCAAATAATATATAGTTTTGTGACTATGTTAATAATAAACAAGGCCAGGTTTTTGGTGTTAAAGTCAGTGGACTTAGTTTCATACTAGCTGAATATCAGGCTAGGAGGGTTTTAGTTGAAAAGAGACATAATGATAAATCACAGAAGTAGCAGTGACAAGCAGGATTGTGCATAAGACTCCAGATCTCGTCTTTGTTCCTTTAATTGAATTGTAGAGGCTTCTTTTCTTTTCCTACTTCTTCGTAACCAGTGAACACTTAATACAGTTAAATAAAAAAAAGCACTATTATTGATGACAATGAATTAACATTTTTAGGGGCAGATATTACCTGTTTTTCCCAGTTTACCAGCTGTGCAACTCTAGGAATTTTATTTCACTCAACCCAAAGGCTTCTCTTTTTGGTAAGCTACTTGCCATACCAGTGTGAGGGAAGAAGTGAATAGAAGAGTGTTCTGTGTTTTGTTTTTCTGTTTTCTTGTATCAGAGATTTAGAGTTCTTTAGATTCTTTCTTTAGAAGTTTTCTGGTTCTTATGCCATAGGAATTATTGACAGATTCAGGGCTGCATTTTGTCACAATAAATAATGTCTCACCCTGCCAGTGGCCCATTGGCGTGAATGGGATTACTTAAAGAGTGAGGCAGTCTTCACTGTGAGTTAGGTTGGCAAACTCTGTCCCATAGTGTTTCTGAAGGGATTCAGCAATCAAAGTCAAGATTGTCTTTTCATCCTACCTAGTAAATTATTAAATTGCCAGGCACATCTACTTTCTGGATTAATAAATAATGTCTCCCCCTGCCAGTGGCCCATTGGCGTGAATGGGATTACTTAAAGAGTGAGGCAGTCTTCACTGTGAGTTAGGTTGGCAAACTCTGTCCCATAGTGTTTCTGAAGGGATTCAGCAATCAAAGTCAAGATTGTCTTTTCATCCTACCTAGTAAATTATTAAATTGCCAGGCACATCTACTTTCTGGATAATACTGTAGATGCTTTTATTCAATGCCTTTCACTCTCAAAAGGAATTCTGGGGCTTAAGCCTTATCTGCAATTTCTGTTGAAATGAATATAACTTTATAGGTTCTGTTTTGACCTTTCTTATGATTCCTGACACTTACTTCTCTGACCTATTTTTTTTTAATGTGACTTAAACAATTTTAAAGAGATCCACCATTTTTAAATTAAATAGATTTTGTGACTAAAGACAAAATTCACACTGGTCCCTGATTTAGGCTTTAACATACCTGACAGTGTCAGGAGGGTGATGCAAAGAAATACGTACTGTTTCCTTTACAGGAGATGGGGAAATACCGGCACTGTCAAAGAACCCAAACGTTGAGCCAGGAAGCTAATTAGAATTTTAGCCAATAGGAAACAAAGGGTATACTCCTGCCCTTCTTTGGATTAAGATGCTTGAATCAGAGCTATCCACTTGGGATTCAAAGTGAAAAGATCGCTCTCGAGGGTGACACTCCCTCTGCCTGAAGATGGGTTTTTATACCCAAAAGCTTGCAAAGAAGAATTTTTCCAACTATTTTAGTTGGTCTAAGAAAAGAAATCAGATTTACCCAAATAATCTTGTCTGGTCTTGAGGGTAGACACTTACTTGGCAAAGCAATGGTGGTATGCCTTTTCCCCCTTTTGTACATCAGCCTATTGATTTGAGCACTCATCTAGGAGGTTATGGATTTTCCTGACCCTAAGGGGATTCAAACTCACCATCCTCACTTCCTAGAGGAGTACTATTACCACCAGATTATGGAATAGTCCAGGAAGTGTTAGTGTATTCAGCCGAGGTAGAGTGGAGGGGAGTCTGGAGCTCTGGTCCTTACTTCCAGGGTTATTTCTGAATTTTAGTCCAGCTCTCCTTGTCCTGGCAGGGTAGTCGAACTGCCACTGTATTCCAAGGGTAGAACAGACACCTGTTTTATCCTGGCTCTGATTGTCCTGGGCATCAAAACAGGTGCAAGGCAATAATCTACATGGACAGCTTGCATGGCAATTAACTAGAATTAGCCACAGTTGTCCCAGGGACAAGTGTCATTTCAGATGCTTCACAGAGACAATAGCTTTGGAAATCTGTAGGATCTCAGGATAAAAGACGTTGGGAGAGAAATCCAACATCTGTTATTAGCCTAAGGCTCTTTCTTGCTTGCTCTCCTTCTGGCCCCATGACTCTTAGCTACACTGTAGGTCAGTGTCAGCTGGAGTGGAAGATGCCACAACACAGGTTGTTTTATCACCTGGAGGATAAGGCTTTTTTTTCTGAAGTGAGAGCTGTAGCTTTGAGTCTCCTCAGGCTTAAACTGGGGCTAAAACCCAGGTCTCCTGCTGTTTGGCCAGGTGCTCTAACCATTCAGTGGAAGCTCCTCCATTAACCATATTTTAAGAAAAAATGACCAAGGCTGCTGCATTTGATATCGAATGCAGTGTTATCCTTGCTTTAAGCATTCTATGAACATATCTAATGCATTGGGCCCTTAAGGGCTACTGGGTGACAATGGAGCTTAAGCAGGAATTATGCACCAAGGTGCTCTGATAGAGTTTCTGCACACATACAGAAGCTCCCCAGCTAGGCACCTAGGGCAAAACATATAGGGCTCCTATACATGTACACGGAGCTGAAAATCCAGTGTATTGAAGCAGACTTGATTAATTAAGTCTGCTGGAGCACAAAAATTGATGCACTTCAGCAGCCTTCCGCATCACGCGTATCAACATTGCCACTCGTCTCCGTGAGAAAAAAACGGCAACAGTGCATTTTGAAATAAAACATGTTTGAGCTTTAGTTCAAAGCATCCTGCCACCATTATTTCAGTGCAGGAACACGTGGTGATGCTGATATATGCGATGCACAGGCACATTTAATTAGCACGGCTCGCTAATTGAAGTGTCCAGCACCGCTTCCCACAACACACGTAAAAATGCCTGTAGGTGCAAAGTTATTTAGGTGTCCAAGTTGTTTTGTGACCAGTAGGGTAGGAGTGTTTGGTTTTTTCGTGGTTGTTCCACATGAGTTCTATTCAGGTACATGGTTTTCCAACATAGATATGTCCCTAAATTCTTATCTCCTGTGTTGTCATCTAGCATGCAGAGTGCCCAAATTTTAAAACAGTTCATTAGTTTTGACAGATACTAAAACATTCATAGCATTAATTGCATTAATTTCTCTCAACATCTTAATTCCCTGATTAAGCAATCTTAGTTAAGATGCATTGATTTTGAACAGTAGGAATTCTTCGTATTTTTTTAATGTAATATAAAATGAATCTGTATGTCATATGGACTTCTATTGATATTTTATGTGAAGCTAAACAACTCTTTAATGTTCTAAAAATACCTTTAAGAAGTTTGACATCCATTGTGACTGACAGTTCTCTTTGTTGGGTTTTTAGTTAGAAATCTAATTCAACAAATGAAGCTGGCAGCTTTCAACTCACTTGGCTTAATGTTACAATATTAAACAATATTAAATTATATTAGGAGTGAAGATAAAATACTGGTGCTTTATACTGTCCCAGTGCTTGACTACATAAACTGAAATCTCATACTTACCTAGTACCTGTTAAAATGGTGAAAATGGTGAAAATTTGCCTTTGCCTTAGCATAACTCACAAGTGTCTGCCACAACAAGAAATAGGAGAACCTGTTTCCAGGTAGTGAGACTAAGAATATCTGCCTGATGATTCTGCTTGCACTGTTTTTTTCCACCAAGATCTTAAACCACTCTTTGAGTGATTTTCTTATAATATGTGTTTCTTTGATTTAAAAAGGGATATGTTTGCTTTGCAGTGCTACAGGCCTGTTTGCAATTGATTGCTGATAGCAAAAGTGATATCCAACAAAAAGGTAAGAGTCAAGCTCAAAAATCCACCCAGGACTAGGAATATATTGGACCACTGTGGTGAAAGCGCACTAGTTTCTGTAGGCACAAGGGAGCATGTCCTGGGTGAACGTGGGACAGCATTTGGTATGAATCCAGAGTAAAGCTTGAACCCAGGCCTCCACCTCCATAGCAAGATGCCTTAACTAATCTGACACCATGCTCCATAAAAAAGTATGAGTACATGCTACATGTAGAGTAATTACCTTTTCAAAAGAGGAAGGAGGGACACATGCCCACCTTCCCCCAACCACCACTGCCAAACCAGAGCTGAGCAGAGTGGGGCAGATGCGGACTGCTTGCTGCTGGCTTAGGGGTCCCCACACTGCTGCCTTTCCCTTGGGAGCCCTGTGCTGGCCGCATGCCTCCTGCCCACCCAGCAGCAGCAGAGGACACAACTCGATGCCACCGCCACCATTGCCACCACCCCCACTGCTGCTGAGTGGGCAAAGGGTGTCTTGCCATGGAAGTGCAGCAGGGTCGGGAGCCCTAAGCTTGCAGTGGGCAGCCCGCATCCATGTCTGCCCTGCACACAGATCTGGGGGGCATGTGTCCCCTGTGCCCTCCACCCCCTGGATAAGCCATCCATTGGTCCATTCCACTCCACACCTAGGCCTCACACACTGCCCTAGCTGGACAGCACACACAGCCTTTGCCCCACTCCCTCCATCACCCTGGGGGGGGGGCCTCAATCTGATCTTCCTCCTAGCCCCCTCTACCTCCTGTCCCCCACAGACTTACCTGCAGGGAGCTGCTCTCCATGCTTCCTGGCTTTGGCATGCACATGCATGCAGTACCCCCTGCTTCCCACCTCCGGCAGTCCCTTGCAAGGCTGGAACACTGCTGCCTGTAAGGGGAAACCTGCCATTTCCCAATCCCTGCAGATACTGCAAATCCAGAACAAATGCTATCCCAGAGTCACGCAACCCAGGACATGTCTATACATTGCAGGACTGTCCTGCCCAATTAGAGAAAAGTGGTCACCCTAGCTACATCCTTGTATATCTTGAATTAGACATTGTCTATATGCTGTCTAGTGACTAAAAATAATGTAAGTTTTTCAGCTGGATAATTTTCGCCGATTTCCTGCTTGTTTCAGGAAATTATGCTATTTTTCCAGAAGTCAGCATTGTTATATTTGGGGAAATGGAAACCAGAGTGAAATAGCTATGTTTGGTTTTGTGGAGGGGGTCATTGTTTGTTTTTGGGTTTGTTTGGGGTTTTTTTTGGGGGGGGGGGGAGGGGGAGGTTCCTCTTACCAGACACACTTCTCTCTCTCTCTCTGTCTTAGATGATTCAAGCATTGTCCCATGGCTTCTCAGCTTTAAACGAGGAACAGCTTTGGAGGAACAAGGAAATAAAATAGTGGTCAAGGAAACAGGTTATTTTTTCATTTATGGCCAGGTAAGAACATTTATTTGAAATGTAATAGCTGACTTTTTAAAATCTTCATACTGTGTGTTTAAAATCTATTTTTATTCATTCTTTAGGTTTTATATACTGATACAACATTTGCTATGGGACATCTAATACAGAGGAAAAAGGCCCATGTATTTGGTGATGATCTCAGCTTGGTGACATTATTTCGTTGTATCCAGAACATGCCTCAGTCTTATCCAAACAATTCATGCTATACTGCTGGTAAATATCTGAGTTTTTGGCTTTATTTATTTATAGATCTGTACTTCATGTAATCTATGGTGATACATTATTTCATATTTTAACAGTTATAAAGAAAATGGAATACATTTAGAAATCATACTATTTATAAACATACAGTGTTTTTTTAAAAATATATTTGTGTGCGAGTATAAATGCCTGAAACAATCCATAAAGAGTGTAGTTATCACATTAACATCATCTTTATGTGTGTCTATATATGTGTGTATATATAAAATCTATATATATTTAGATAGTGCAATAACTATTTTAGCACCATGGTCCTCTTTAATAAATTAAATCAATTATGGATATAATTTGGCCTAAATCTGAAACCTTTACTCAGGCAAGGCTCACATTAAGATGGTGTTGGCTTTGCCATTCCTTACAAAATCATTAACTTTTTCTCAAAAACCATCACAATGCTTGAGTGTTATCAAATTGCTTTAGATTAGTTATGCATTTATTGGGGGGGGGTTAGTTGATTACTAAGATATTTATATGTGAAATGTTTCCTCTTTCATTCACTCCAATTTGTGATTCACGCAGTGATTATATAGTCTGGTCACCATTTCACAGTTCCAGAACTGGTTGTATTGTGAACTGAGAGGCTAGTAACAATGAACTGTGGCATCACTGAATGTATCAGGTACTTGGTACATGATAAAATGCAAAATAAAGCTTCTATTCACAGAGTCATCTTGCTAAACAGCAAAAATGAGGAAAGGCAGGTACAGAAGTAAGGGCCTATTGAATAAGGTTTGATAAAGTGGAGTTTCATAGTCCGTGACAATGGTTCCTTAAACTCTATAGGGAGATAAGGTAATGCACACATATTTAGAGCACTCAGCAGGGTGCTAATAAAAAGTATTAATCTGGCATAAGTGTACACGTCTTGATTTACAGACATGTCTGGTGGGAATTAACTAAGTTTCCATATAAGCCAATAGTAATTTTCAATCACCTGTTATGAGGAGCAGAGTTAGACTGATCCTGGTGACTCTTGAAAATATCATTCTAAAGGTGCCTAAAAAGCTAGATGACTATATATCTATATTTTATTTAATAAAGCAGCTTATTAAAATCAAGGAAAGAGATTCAAAGGTATGGTGGGCCATAGTATCAGTGAGTACTTGGATTTCTGACACAAAAAGAGTAATCTATTTGATACCGTCTGGTAGAGCTATAAGTAAAATATTTATATAAAGATATTTCAAATCTCTTGCTAGGCATTGCAAAACTAGAAGAAGGGGATGAGCTTCAACTTACAATACCACGGAAAAGAGCCAAAATATCACTGGATGGAGATGGCACTTTTTTTGGTGCAGTTAGACTCTTGTGATGCTCTGCATTTATACATCATGCTTATCAACATTTCTTCTCTTTGTGTCATTGAAAAACAAATTGAAATACAATAAAGCTGCCAATTCAGTCTTTTTTCTGAGCCCTTGCATTTGGTTTAATGAGCCAGCCCAAAACAGGAAACCCAAAGACATGCTTGCGGTACACAACCGTCATGTGAATTACCAGAAACACAACTTATTTTAGGCGATAAAATAATATAAATAACAGCTAAGAGAGCATGTCTTACAGTTTTGAAATTACTTCTTGTCTCTGATGCAAAGTAAAGAGTCCTCCAACACTACAACACTGACTGCAAACTATCTTAAGCCAAAGTAGACCATTATGAATACTAGAGATCCTAGTTTTCTCTGATAAAAGAATCCCTAATTTTCGGATTTAAAAAAGTAACCCAAAATTCACATTTTTCCATGATTAAAATGAAATGTCACAATATAGCAGTGTTTCATTTTTATCATGGAAAAATGTGGACATTTTTATCATTAAAAAGTAATGTTGGGGTTACTTTTTAAAATCTGAATATTGGGCATATTTTTGCCAGAGAAAAACCAGGATCCCTGGTGATTACTAATTCATTATCCATGTAATATTGAAGTGAAATGATCACATCATATTTATATATTGGATAAATCTAACATCTTAAACATGAAATGTTTTATTATTAAAACAAAGAATTTTTAAAAATCGAGTGGAATTTTCATTGTATATATGGAAGTACATTAAGAAATACAGATAAATTTGCCTGGGACAAAAATAAAATAGTGTTGTGGTAGCTGCGATGGTCCCCAGAGTGTCTGAGAAGCTAGATTTGTTTGGTTATATCTTTTTCTTGGACCCACTGTATAGTTGGGAGAGATGTCAAACAAGCTTTTTGGCACAAAATTGCCCTTACTTGAGCAGAAAGACTCAGTTACAGCCGCATTTAACTAATATACCATATAGAACAATTTTTTTTTTTGTTTAACCTCATTTTGGAAATGCTCACTTAAAAAGAAAAATGGGCAGTAAACCTGTAAGAGACAGTTACAGATCAAGTAGAACAAATGGAAATAGATGTACCTAATTACTGAAAAGAATTGGACTGTTCTAAGGGAAAAGGAAGAGGGGTATTATTATTATTCATGGAGTAGAGAAGTTAGTATTGTAATGTTATACTGAGATATAAAGCCATTGTTTGTGTTAAATCCACCAGTTTTTTGTGTCCAGAAAAGTTATGTGTTTTTTGTTCACAGGCCTGTCTCCTAAAGGTACTGTTTAGACTTTCCCTGAAGACTAGGGCTTTGAGGTCATAGATGGAACTGTTGTTCTGTGAAGTGTTCTCCCACTGGTATGTCTGTCCTTTTATAATTTTTCTATGACAGTTCATTCTGGAGTGGAGTAGTGATATTGGGCATTTATACACATACATTTGTCTACTTCAACGCACCAGAAATCTAGCACATCAGAGCAGACTTGATTAATCGATAATCAATTAATTGGCTGATTAATCGAGTCTGCTCCACACGTGAGCTAACATGCCTGGTGCTGTATCGCATGCATTTGTATAAATGGTAAAATGTGCATCAGTGCTGAGAAAATGGTGCCGGTGCACTTTTGAACTAAAACGCCTTCAATGTGTTTTAGTTCAAAAGCGTGCCACTGCCACTTTGTCAGCGCTGACTTGCATTTCCCTGTTTATACAAATGCATGCGCCACAGCCCCGGGTACTTTTAAAGGCACCCAGCGCTGTGGTGCAAGCATGTGCACAAATGCCCTTAAGGTCAAAACAGAAATGTATCTCCCAGGTCTAGCTCATGGCACTTCACAGAAAGTGCCATGAGTTAGACTGATTCTCCTGACCTAAAAGAAATTAGCTGTTGGGTCAGGAGGGTAGGGGATCAAGCTTCAATTTGGAGCCGAACCAGGGAGAGAGGCTGTGTCTCTGTAGCCCAGGGGTGGGCAAAATGCAGCCCATGGGCCAGATGTGGCCCACCAGGCCATTCTATCCGGCCCGCAGGACCCCTAAAAAATTTAGAAACTTTATATTTATCTGCCCCTGGGTACCTGTCATGTGGACCTCGATGGCTTGTCAAAACTCAGTAAGCGGCCCTCTGCCAGAAATAATTGCCCACCTTTGCTATAGCCTCTTCCCCAAGCTTTGCCCCCCACCCCTTCCCTGCTTCCATTCTGTCTCAGGATGAAAGGGGGAGAAGACAGGGGAGGAAAGTCCAGTCCCAACTGTGCTGGAATGGGGGGCAGTGAGTGGATTGGAGCCCACCTTGGGGAACTCCAATCCACCTGCCCCACCTCTAGCACCAGCTGGGCCACCCCCCGTCTGTGAAGTGTTCTCCCACTGGTATGTCTGTCCTTTTATAATTTTTCTATGACAGTTCATTCTGGAGTGGAGTAGTGATATTGGGCATTTATACACATACATTTGTCTACTTCAACGCACCAGAAATCTAGCACATCAGAGCAGACTTGATTAATCGATAATCAATTAATTGGCTGATTAATCGAGTCTGCTCCACACGTGAGCTAACATGCCTGGTGCTGTATCGCATGCATTTGTATAAATGGTAAAATGTGCATCAGTGCTGAGAAAATGGTGCCGGTGCACTTTTGAACTAAAACGCCTTCAATGTGTTTTAGTTCAAAAGCGTGCCACTGCCACTTTGTCAGCGCTGACTTGCATTTCCCTGTTTATACAAATGCATGCGCCACAGCCCCGGGTACTTTTAAAGGCACCCAGCGCTGTGGTGCAAGCATGTGCACAAATGCCCTTAAGGTCAAAACAGAAATGTATCTCCCAGGTCTAGCTCATGGCACTTCACAGAAAGTGCCATGAGTTAGACTGATTCTCCTGACCTAAAAGAAATTAGCTGTTGGGTCAGGAGGGTAGGGGATCAAGCTTCAATTTGGAGCCGAACCAGGGAGAGAGGCTGTGTCTCTGTAGCCCAGGGGTGGGCAAAATGCAGCCCATGGGCCAGATGTGGCCCACCAGGCCATTCTATCCGGCCCGCAGGACCCCTAAAAAATTTAGAAACTTTATATTTATCTGCCCCTGGGTACCTGTCATGTGGACCTCGATGGCTTGTCAAAACTCAGTAAGCGGCCCTCTGCCAGAAATAATTGCCCACCTTTGCTATAGCCTCTTCCCCAAGCTTTGCCCCCCACCCCTTCCCTGCTTCCATTCTGTCTCAGGATGAAAGGGGGAGAAGACAGGGGAGGAAAGTCCAGTCCCAACTGTGCTGGAATGGGGGGCAGTGAGTGGATTGGAGCCCACCTTGGGGAACTCCAATCCACCTGCCCCACCTCTAGCACCAGCTGGGCACCCCCCAGATCGAGCTTCCTCTGCTCCCTACCCCCCGCCCCCCCCCATTCTGAAAACAGCACTAGGAGCAGTGCTGGGCTGCATCAGCCAAGCCGTGATCCTGGCGCATGCAGACAGAAATTAATGAAGGTACTCCACTCTGAAGCATCTTCATCTGAACCCTCACATAATGATGGTTCAGACTGTGGTAGAATTGGGCCCTTTTAAAGCACTCTGCACTTGTCTTTGGTCACAGCTGTAGAGTGCTTTAATGGGCCAGATTAGGCAAAAAATGTCACTTCTGTCTGCACCTTCAGTTTCACCTATATTGTTTCTATGATGGCAATTGGCACATTGGATGAGGCATGTCATATGTGGTAGAAATAAGTAGGTTCCATGGATTATAGTGGTTTCATTGTGGGGAGATAGTGGCAGTGTGTTGGTAGGCTTTGTTTTTTAAGGAAGAGTCTAAAGATGATGAAAAGATTAGTGCTTTTGCAAAGGTTGTTTGGAAGCCTGCATTTGAGAGGCTGAGAATAGGTCTCTATACTTATGACCCTTTTTTTATCATTGGCTGTAATTATTTAATGAACTCTCACATCAAAATAGAGGACAGGGCCACCCAGTTGCAAGTGGGAGAACATTTTTAACAGAACAGCCATTCTACCTCTGACCTGTCTTTTAGGGAAACCTACACAATACTTTTAGAAGATGACCCTGAGAATACTAAACTTTTCTGGGAACACATACCCGAAAAGCATAGACTTGAACAATGGTCTAATTGTACATTACCATTAACCTGTTCTCTCTCCTAACTTTTCTGTACTCCACAGTTAATAGTACTTCTCTTACTTTTTTCAATGGTCTTATTTTTTAACATAATTAGGTTTCTCTATTTCACTTTTTTCACTTGATCTATAAATGCCTCTTATAACCTCTTATTCCATGGATTTACTGCTTACTTCCCTTTTTATGCAACTATTTTCATTTACATAATAGTGTTAAACAAAAGTCATTGTTCTATCTACTTATTTAGATGAGACTGTATCTGTGTCTTTTCTAGAACTGAGGTAGGGCATTTTGTGTCCCAAACTTTGTGTAATATCTCTCTCAACTAAAGACTTTCCAATTTGACTAGGTCTCTGAATCCTAGCCCTACCCTCCAGTGTATCTGCTATTCCCCTCAGCTTGGTGTCAAACATGCTGAGGGTGCACTCCATTCCATCTTCCAGATCATTGATAAAGATATTGAACAAAACTGGTCCCAGGATCGACCCCTGGGGCACTCCCCTTAATACCAGCTGCCAATTAGACATCAGGCTATTGATTACTATCCTTTGATCCCAATGATCCAACCAGTTTTCTATCAGCCTTACAGTCCATTCCTCCAACCCTTACTTCCTTAGCATGCTTGCAAGAATGTTGTGGGAGACTATATCAAAAGCCTTGATAAAGTCAAGGCATATTACATCCCTTGCTCTTCCCACATCCACAGAGCCATTCATGTCATCATAGAAGGCAATCAGGTTGGTCAGGCATGACTTGCCCTTGGTGAATCCATGATGACTATTCCTAATCAACATCTCCTCCAAGTGCTTAGCAATGGATTCTTTGAAAACCTACTCCATGATTTTTCCAGGGACTGAGGTGAAGCTGACTGGTCTGCAGTTCCCCAGATCCTCTTTCTTACCTTGCTTAAATATGGGTACTATAGTTGTCTTTTTCCAGTCATCTGGGACCTCTCCTGATCACCACGAGATCTCAAAGATAAGGTTCTTAGGT